CCTGGCTCTCCTGGCTCTCCTGGCTCTCCTGGCTCTCCTGGCTCTCCTGGCTCTCCTGGCTCTCCTGGCTCTCCTGGCTGACCCCCTGATTCTTACTCTCTTCACTCACCATCTGCTTCACGTCCACGATGAAGTTCAGTGGGAATGAATGTCCCTTTTGCTCTTGTCCACTCAGGCCAGTGGTTCGCCAGCGACACTTCACAAAATGCAACCGTGCAGAAGAATGGCATCCCTGTCCCAGCTGCCATGAAAGAATACAGGTACGCGACTTTGGACTTCATCAAGCATCATGTGGAAAGATAGCGACCCAAAATCATGGCCAATGTAGTGCGCCGTCTGCTTCAGCATCCCAGCATCCAGTGTTGAACCGCAAGACCGAGCATCAGTCAGAACAGATTCCCTTGACAGATGGACAAGGAAACACTTCCATTAATACCATGACCCACGGTGACACGATCATCCAATTGCAGCATAAATATACTGCTTTACGGTCGGATTTCATGCTGCTTGTTGAGAAATTGCATGAATTTGGAGCTGTACTTTTGAGTTGCCGCCCTATGCCAAGTGATTTACCTGAGTCTCGAAATGCTCCAGCACCCAATAGTCCCATGATGGTTGAGCCCCAGAACCTTTCCGCTCAGACTAATCCGGAAATACGGAATAACAGCAATCCTGTTTCATTTGGCATGGACGCTGCATTGACTTCGAAACCCTCCAATGCTAGTATGCCCGCCAATCACTCGGTGCTTCAAAATAAAGGTAATCCCAACGTATCACGGACACCAGATGTTGCTAATATCTATCTAGATACCGAGATGCCTGATTTGAATGACAATGAAGATGAAACCAAAACTCTAGAATCAGCACACCCTCAAGCCGGTCTAGATAAGAAGCCGAATCAACCAGGCGACGAAATTCTGGAAGAAAGCAATGGTCAGACAAGTACAAGCGGTTCAATCGCTATAGCCCACGGCAACTGTGACAAACAGAAAGGGAAAGCAGGAACTTTGTCCCAGAGGCCTAGAGGAAGACCTAGGAGAAAATCGCTGAAGGCAAGGTCTGAGAATACGCGTAGTAAACCGCAAGGTGAGAGTTCTTAAAGTCTGATGAATAATACTGAATATCTCTAGGTAACCGCCGAGTTGTGACGAGACCACTGGCAAATATGAAAGACCCTGTTGATTTGACTATGTGTGCTGACGGTTAGTCTGCCCGATCAGGAACCAGATATAGATATTAACTCCACCAGATGACTACGTCAACAAAAGAATCGCGCCCCGTTACGAAATATCCATTGAGGATTTGCGCACCTGTGAGCCAGGTCAATGGCTCAACGACAAGATCATCTATGCATACTTGTCTCTGCTTAAAGATTATGCAAAGTCGACTGGGCGTATCACTTGTCATGTTCTTGATACTTTCTTCTTCACCCTCAACCTGAAACAAGGCTATTCGGGAGTTAGTCAGAAGGGCTCGCAGATACCCTTGGATGTTAATATTATTCTCATGCCTATTTGCACCAAACAACACTGGACCCTGGTTGTTCTGCATCCTCGCACTCGGGTGATTCAAAGATATGATTCCCTTCACGGTCTTGGAGAGAATCACCTTCATCAAATTCAAAAGTGGCTAGACACAGAGTATAAGACCGGGGCTGGTCCGGAATGGACTGTTGGAGATCATGTCTCCCCACGGCAAGAGAATAGTGATGATTGTGGAATCTTCGTCCTTGCAACAGCAAGGTCAGTGGTCATGAAAACATCTCTGGACTACAACACTGATATCATTCCCATGATGAGAAAAAGGATTGTTGAGGAACTTAAGGAGAACCTTCACAGTGCCAAGGCCCACTTGGAGCTCTTTGAGTTCGAAAGTCTTCATGACAAGCATAGCGGTTGAATACAAGCAGGGAAGAAAAAATAAATAGGACATGTATCATGAGAAGGGGATTTGCTTTGTTAACGGTGTCGCCCTCGAGACTTTGTCCCTTGGCTCCTCCAGAATCTTGAAGAGCTGATTGGTCTGCAAGCGTGGGAATGTGTCAGGGAGCTGTCCAGTAACAAGGTGTGTGGTCTAGTGATGGGATTCGCCTAGAGCCTGGCCAATACAGAAGATTTAGACCCCTGCTAATGTAGCTATTCTTATCTAAGGAACTACTTTTCTATTTTTCTCTTACTACCTATTTTTTTTTTCCTTTAAAGTTCGCACGCCCCCTGCCCTCGCCCCTCCCACTCTGTTTCTGTCGCAGCTCCTTGCTATTTTGATCCAGAGCAAACAATTGCTTTCAAGCATCTCACGTAACAGTTTAGACCTCTTTACTATGGATATTGCTTCGCTGCTCAACACTCCTCCAATATCTCCTCATTGTTCTAGTGGAGAGTCCGATAAGACCTGCGTCCAGATCAAGCCTCAATCAACTGGCACAACCTGGTCTCTGGGAGAGGCTAATTTGGCAGCTACACTCAAAGCTCAGGGAAAGTCTTGGGATGATATTAGTCGCGCGCTCCCTGGTCGGTCTGCTCATGCTTGTTCTGAGTATGATCGTCGCAATAATCCCCTTGACCATAGGAGGCGCTGGTCTCCAGAGGACATTGCGCTCCTAGATATCATGGTAGGAAACAGGACGCCATGGACAGAAATAAGTGAGAAACTAGGACGGGGAATAGCTGCCTGTCGTATTCGGTATAAGAGACTCAGCAGAGCTAGAGACCTGGCCAGAGAAAAGGAGAACTGGGTGAGATATAATATCTCGCACTTAGAAGACATATCACTTACGAGAATCTTAGGTCGAATTTATCCCTCAGAATAAGCCATTATCGATCCATGAGCGAAACCCCTCTCAGGGCCAGGGGGATGCACCAAGCAAGAGTAACTCTCCTGGATTCGCAGCAACCTCGCCAGTGTTCTCCCCTGGGCCAGTCAGGCTCACGCTAGAAGAGGAGCAGGCGAACGATGCATATTGGGACAACTATTTTAATGTACCGAGTCCTGAACCAATGAAGGAGTCGTTTAATTCTTGGTGGAATAGACTCTATCGGAAGCAGGATCACGAAGCAGGTGCCGACCATACTATGGAAATCTCTTCCCCCATCAATGCTAGGGCATCTATACAATCGCCTATAGGATGGGAGGCCGTCTCTACAGCCTTGCTAAATGTGGGATCCCAGAATTCGACAAATTTTCTTAATGAACCCACTCTAGACGAGGTAGGAACGCGTCTTGATTATCCGGACAATACACATATCAACACAAAAGGACTTGGCCCGCAGTATTTTGAACTTTTTAACTGGGCTCGAAACCACCTTACTCAACTTATCCCAGTTCTTGGTCCTGTCCTGAGGGATCGTCTTGCTTATGAACATGCTCGCCGAACCAAGCGATTAGATGAGATAAAACAGGAACATGTCAACGCCATCATACAAGGGAAATGCAAGTCTGGCAGATACTGTTGTGCTCGACATGATCACGTTCATGTTGAATCAGGCTACAAAACAGGTCATCCGTGGGTCCAAGGACAATCGGTTGCTGAGGAACATCTTTGTGGTACCCCGCGCCCGCTACTGTCGGTCAATATGTTCCCGGCGGAGTTTGAATGCCCCCTGTGCTTCAATGTGAAGAAAATCAAGACTCCTTCAGACTGGACTAAGCATCTATTCGAGGATATACAGCCGTTTATATGCACCTTCCCAGACTGTGCTAATCCTGGACCCTTTAAACGAAAAGCTGACTGGATCCGACATGAGAATGAGCGGCACCGACAGCTTAAGTACTGGGAATGCTCTCTCCCAGGTTGTGAGTACAAGGCTTATCGAAAGGATAATTTCGTGCAGCATCTCGCCCGAGAGCACGATATGATGCCTAACTCGAGATACCCTATACATCACCCGACGCGGCAGGTTGACGAGGTTTCGGAATTTGTGGAAAGCTGCAGCCACAAAACGACTAAAAATCCTCAAGAGGAACCCTGCCGATTCTGTGGCGGAATCTACATGGACTGGACCAGGCTCATCAAGCACGTAGGCGAGCACCTGGAGGTTATAGCACTTCGTACTCTTAGATAGAGCTCGTGAGGCTGCCAAGTTCCCTCTTTTCTCATGCCAGTTGATTACCG